AGATTTTTCATATTTTTCATAATCTGCAAAGTTTTGAGTGTATGTTTGTAGAATGTATTTTGTAGAATGATCCTTGGTTGGGATATGTCTGACGTTTGTTCAAATGCTTAGGCCAGAGTTACCGTGTTTTGGAGCAGAAGGTCCAGAGGCATAACGCCATCCATAATTATCACCTCACATAAAGGTTGTTTACTCTGAAGATTGGGGTCTTTTGTGGTTCCATACAAATTTTAGGACTGTTCTCGTTCTCTGAAAAATGTTGTTGCTATTTTGATGGAAATTGCATTAATTGTGTCAGTTGCTTTGGGAAGTATAGACATTTTCATTATATTTGTACTTCTGATCCATAAGTATGGAATGTCCTTCCATCTTTTTGTGTCATCTTGAATTTCTTCCATCACTGTTTTATACTTTTCAATGTATAGGTCGCTCACCACTTTGGTTAGATTTATTCATAGATACCTTATTATTTTGTGTACAACTGTAATGGGACTATTTTCTTAATTTCTCTTTCTACTGCTTCAGTATTGTTGTCTAGAATTGCAACAGATTTCTGTACAATGATTTTGTATCCTGTGACATTGCTGAATTCATTTATGAGTTCTAGCAGTTATTGGGTGGACTCTTTAGGGTTTTCTATGTATAGTGTCATGTAATCCGCAAAGTGTGAAAGATTCACTTCTTCCAGATTTGGATTTGTTTTTATTTTATTTTATTTTATTTTATTTTATTTTATTTTGTTTTGTTTCGTTTGTCTGCTGGCTATGGCTTGGACTTCCAGTAATTTGTTTATTAAAAGTGGTAGGAATAAACATCCTTGTCTTCTTCCTGACCTTACAGGAAAAGCTCTCAGATTTTCCCCATTAAGGTTGATTATAACTGCAGGGTTTTCATATATAACCTTTATTACTTTGATGTATGTTCCCTGTAAACCTACTTTAGGCGGTTACAATCATGAATGGATGTTGTACTTTGCCAAATGCTCCTTTCTGCATGTATTGAAATGACCATATGGTTCTTTTCTTTAACGTTTATTAATTTTGAGAGAGAGCGTGAGCAGGGGAGGAGCAGAGAGAGAGACACAGAATTCAAAGGAGGCCATTGGCCCATAGCTTTCAGCACAGAGTCTGATGCGGAACTTGAACTCATGAATCATAGGGTCATGACCTGAATTGATGTCGGACTGTTAAAGGATTGAGCCACCCAGGTGCCCCAATCATATGGTTCTTATCCTTTCTCCTGTTAGTATATTGTATCACTATATTGTATCACATTGATTGATTTGCGAATATTGAACCACCTTTGTAGCTTGGGAATAAATCCCACTTAATTGTGGGATATATTTACAGTTGTTATATCTTCTTTTTGGATTGTACCCTTTACTGTTATATAGTGTCCTCCTCTGTCTCTTGTTATGTACTTTTTTTAAGTGTATTTTTTCTGATACAAGTATTGCTACTCCAGCTTTCTTTTGACATTGATTTCTGTGATGTTTCTCTATCCTCTCACTATCATTCTTGAGGTGTAAAATGGGTCACTTGTAGGCATCTAAATCTGTTTTGTTTTTTCATCCATTTTTACACCCTACATCTCTAGATTGGAGCATTCACTCCATTTACCTTCAAAGTAATGATTGATATGTATGTACATATTGCCATTTTATTGCCTGTTCTGTTGTGGTTTCTAATAATTTTCTCTGATCCTTTCTTGCCTTTCTTTCATGTTTTGCTTATTTTGTTTAGTGATATATTTTGATTTCTTTATCTCTATCCTTAGCATATTTGTGACTGGTTTTAGTATATGGTTACTGTTAGGTGTTTATATAACCTCTTCTGCATTTATCAGTTTGTATTAAGTTGATGGACACTTACCTTTTCACCCATTATTTTCTCCTCCCTAGGTTTTTGGTACATGTTATTATATTTCACATCCATTTCTCTGAGTTCCTTAACTGATTTTTTACAGAAATATTTATTTTTTTACTTGATGTGTCTTCTACCTCTATACTGTCACTGTTGGTCTCTCCTTTCCACTCAAAGAATCCCTCTCAATATTTCTTGCAGGACTGGTTTAGTGGTACAAACTCCTTTAGTTTTTGTTTGGAAAAGTCTGTGTCTCCTTCATTTTGAATGATAGTGTTGCTGGATAGAGTATTCTTGGCTGCTGATTTTTCCATTCAGCACTTTGAATATGTGATGTCACCTGCTTCTGGCTTGCCTAGTTTCTGTTCAGAAATCTGTAGCTAGGCTTATGGGTCTTCCCTTTTTTTTTTTTTTTATTTTTATTTTTTTTTCAACGTTTATTTTTTATTTTTGGGACAGAGACAGAGCATGAACGGGGGAGGGGCAGAGAGAGAGGGAGACAAAGAATCGGAAACAGGTTCCAGGCTCTGAGCCATCAGCCCAGAGCCTGACGCGGGGCTCGAACTCACGGACCGCGAGATCGTGACCTGGCTGAAGTCGGACGCTTAACCGACTGCGCCACCCAGGCGCCCCTGGGTCTTCCCTTCTAAGTTAAGGACTCTTTTGCTGCTGTTAAGAGATTTTCTTGGCGCACCTGGGTGGCGCAGTCGGTTAAGCGTCCGACTTCAGCCAGGTCACAATCTCGCAGTCCGTGAGTTCGAGCCCCGCGTCAGGCTCTGAGCTGATGGCTCAGACCCTGGAGACTGTTTCCGATTCTGTGTCTCCCTCTCTCTCTGCCCCTCCCCCGTTCATGCTCTGTCTCTCTCTGTCCCAAAAATAAATAAACATTGAAAAAAATTAAAAAAAAAGAGATTTTCTTTATTGTCACTGTAATTTGCAAGTTTCCTTACAATATGTTTGTGTGTTGGCCTGATTTTGTTGATTTTGATGGGAGTTTTCTAGTCTCCCGGATGTGGGTGTTTGTTTCCCTCCCCCAACTAGGGATGTTTTCAGCTATTATTTCCTCAAATAAATTTTCTGCCCCATTTTCTCTTCCTTCTGGGACTCCTACAATATGAATACTATTATGTTTGATGTAGTCACTGAGTTCCCTTAGTCTCATCTCACACTCCAGAATTCTGTGCTCTCTCTTTGGTTCAGTGTGATTAATTTCCATCACTCAGTTTCGAGGTCACTAGTTTGTTCCGCTGCTTCTTCCATCCCTCTGTTCATCCCAGCAAGCGTGTTTCTCCTTTATTGTGTCCTCAATGTCTACTGTGTTATATCTTATCTCTTTCAGGGGTCTCACTCTTCTACTCATTTCACAACTCCAATGAGTATCCTTATGATCATTGCTTTAAATTCTTTATCAGGTATGCTACTTATATCTCTTTGGCTTAGATCTCTGGCTTTCACTAGGTCTTTCATTGTGGATAAACATCTCTGTGTGTCCATTTTGTCTGTCTCTCTGGCTCTGTTTCTCTGTGTTAAGTCATCTGTGCCTTCTGACCTTGAAATTAAGGACGTTATGAAGAAGAGGTCCTGGAGTCCTCCGCAGTGCATGTCTCCATTTACAGGACCTGGATATTCAGGAGGATATTGTATGGGTATTGCTCACGGCCTTCGGTTGTGTCTGGGTTACTTTTCCTTTCAGTGCAGATGTCTGCACTGATTGTGTGCCTGTTGTGGGCTGTGCTGCTCTCAGTGGTGTTAGTGGGACCCAGGAAGGCCAGCTGTGGGGTGTTATGAACGCTGGGTAACATGGAAACAGGGCAGGAGTGTTAGCAAAATTGCACAGGACTACTAGCACTATTCCAGGTTTCCCGATATGCTTTGGTGGCTGGGGGCTGTGGGCTAGCGGTGGAAGCTAAGGGCTTGAGGATATGCACAGAACTTGTCAGTGCCTGGGGACATGTGGCTGGGTGAGACGGATGAGGGTGCCTGGATGTGCACAGCTGGGTGAGGTGCAGATGTGCACAGCATGCTGTGGCAGCTATGTATGCAGCTTGTCGGAGAGGGTGCCCTTGTGGTTTTAAGAATGTTTGCCCCGAGACCAGCAGGCGTGCTGTGGTGAGTTCCCCAGTGAACCCTTGGGACTGGTGCACTGCTAACGGGTTAGGTAGCAAGTGTCTGTGCAGCCTCACCCTCTGGTGGGTGCTTCTATGCTTATTCTGGGAGGCTGGGGGAGAAGAATGGTGCCTGATAGCTCCCTCATTGTTGGATAAGTCCTCCAACACACTCAGGAATCAGCATGAATACATCTGTCTCCTGTAACCTCAGCATTGTGTAAAATTCCATGTTTAGATTGCCTCTCTACACAGGCAGGGACCTGGCTATCACTCATCCCCCTGGATCACCCAGTGCTTGGTCAGCTGACCTCCAAAGCTCCATGATCTAAACTCAAGTGAATTCAGCCCCTCTGGGTTTTAATGCCCAATGTTATGGAGATTAGTCTTCCCTGTGTCAGCCTCCGGGCATGATGGCTCACTTTCTCCGCCCATTCTGCAGGCAGCCAGCCTCCACCTTTCTGACCTTCCTAACCTTTCTGATGCAGCTTCTCTCTATTTAGGTGTGGAGTGTGTTTTATGAGTCTTTGGATTGCTCTCTGTTTCATGGACTTGGATGTGGATATTATGTAGTTGAACATATGGGACAGGGTGAGCTAAGGGTCCGCTACTCTGTTATTATTGATTTTTTAAATATCTTATTATTTTGGATTTTTGAGACATGGGCAAAAAAACTCATATCACACATGCACTTCAGGATTATAAAGGAACGTTCCCACATTGGCTTCTAGTGTTTTGAAACTCTCTTTAATAAGGTATAATTTACATATAACAAATAGCTTCAAATTAAAGGGTATGATTTGATGAGACTTGATCTCATGGGTACAGCACCATGAAGTCATATGGTTTCTCTCTAAACCTTAAATCATGATCCCTTTGTGTCTAGCGCTAGTGTTGCTTTTGAAGTAAGGAAAAAAAAATATATATATATATATTTATTTATTTATTTATTTATTATATATTATATATATATGTGTGTGTGTGTATATATATATATATATATATATATATATATATATATATATATATATTTACATTTTCAGATATTGCCCATGTATCCGAATGCCTGCACTGGGGTACCTACCTCCTTTTCTGATAGACTGTATTCCCGTAAGTATTGCAGTCGGTCTACCTTTGGACTTTATCCTGTGTTGTATCTTCAGTCTGTTCACTTAATTTCATTGCAGTTCTTCAATGCTGAGGGATTCATAATTGGATTGATTTTCACTAAATGGTACGAGATGCAGTTCCAATCATGACAGAAAGCACATGCTTCCTGTGTTAGGTACTCAAGAACAAGGCAGATAACCTGGGCAGTTGAGCTGAGAATGTCTCACTCTATTTGCCGGCCCTCTTCCCTTCCCTGGGAGACAAGGATCTCTTTTGGTTACACAGAAATGTCAGTGAAGTCAGCAGAGAAGGGTCCCTTCTCTTCCGTTTGTCTCTCAAACTCCCTGTCACTACCTTCTGCCTGTCCCTTTCCCCGACTCAATCCCCCAGGCCCACTGCTCCACTCCAGCCATGATCAGGGTGTCCTCCAGCTGCTGGCCTCTGCTCTGGCCATTGCTCAGTGAGGAAACTGCAGGAGGATTATGTAGCTCATGGGTCTGATCAAGAAATCTCTGCTCCTCAGAGTCCTCCTACACCTGGTGCTGTCTGCAGAGACCTGGCATCCTGGGCGTGGGTCTGACCCTCACTCCTCTTCACAGTCACTGCTGGTCATCCTTCTCCACCATTTCCACCTTCTCCACCACTCATCCTTCTCCACCATTAGAACATAGCCATTTCCTAAGGACAGATACCTGTCTATCTGATCCCAAGTCACCATGGAGTCAGGGTTTATTTCCAAAATAATTGAGCATAAGCACCCCATCAATCTAGATATAGGAAGTTCCCATCACCCCGGAAAACTCCCTCGAGCTCCCCTGCACAAGGGGTGATCTTGCTTCTATCCTCCATCACCACCATTTCTGCCACTTTGTTACCTGTGTGTACAGGAACCCCACTGTGTGCACTCGATGGGAGAGTGAGAGTAGATGGTCCCAGAAGCAGATGCTGACACAGAGACAAAACGATGAAACATGGATTAGGGGACAGTAGGAAGGACAAACTGGAGGGGACATGATGGACAGGGAAAGCATTTAGGTAGATCTGACATCTTCTTAAAATGTGTATATAATCACCATAGTCTGTCACCGTGCACAGTCCTCTTCAAATTTCAAAAGAGTTGTCCTATAAGGCAAAGAGATTTTGGTTTATTTTCCTGGGATCTTATGTTTTCCTACATGCATTATGTCTTCTGTAGTTTATCTGTGGCATCAAATGAATACTTTAGTGTGTGGCTGCATCTGTGAGATTACGTGTACTAGAAAATGATTGTCTTCAGATCTAGGTCTCTGAATGTACACATTCTCATGATTATCTTTTCTTTCATTGTGTGACAAGGCCCAAATTTTAATAGAAAAATGAGGGACATTGTCTTATTTTTTAAAACAGTGATTCCCACTCCCTGAGCTAACAGTCTTAGTTTAATGAACTCCTGTGACCATCTTTTTTGGAGGATCATTGTGTGGAGGTATCTTAATTGAAACTGTGAGAAACGTGAGGGGACACTTCCCAGAGATTTTGCAGATGCTTTATGCACTGAATGTCTTCTTTTTCTCTTGTTCTTAGAAACAAATATTACCCCTGTTTTCACAGATAACACAGCTGAGGCTCTGTGTAGGTCCCACTGAGAACTGGTATTAGGGCTGAGACTGCAGGAACACAGGCAAAGCCTCAATATTGTGAAAGAAGTATGAGGAGATGCAAAACTGTAGTCAGGGTGATGGCAGGGGTCCACCAGGGGTGGCATCTGGCCAGCCCTGAACTGTAGGTTGACCCAGGCTGAAGGCCAATGCAGGAACTCAGCTGATCTAGATTCTGTCTCTGCTTTGAGTCTCACTGAGGGATATGAACTTGGGCATACAGCATTTTCATAAGACCAAGTTAAATTCCCCATATCTCCAGGGTTTTTCCCCCCACAAATATCCAGAACCTTCAGGAAAATCCAGGGAGACAACAATCTTTTTAGATGATTACCTGCATGCACTTTGGCAACACACTGACATTTTGGAGATGAACACTGCATTGTGCACTGAGCAATCCCACATAGCAGTTCTGTATGGACCTCACACTCCCTGCTCAGGCTGTGGCCAGGAATGACCTCCAACTGCATCTCACTGACCCCAACACCCTCCTTTCTGCACCTCCTCAAACTCTGCTTACTGTGCTCAACTTCCCTTCTATTCCTCTATGATACAAGGTTCCCCCATTTTTGCACTGGATCCTTCACTGGTGTTTCCATTATGGTGATCACAAGGTCTGCATAATTTAATGACTGTCCCTCTTTCACACAGGAAACCTGATGCTCTAAAAGTTAGGGGGGGGGGGCGCCTCATTCTTTACAGAACTCCAAACACTGTGTCTCCAAAATATGCACCAGTACTGCTGATATGTCTGCTTTTGTGTAAAACATCCTCTTTCATTTGACAAGAGAAACATATAGCTCACTGTATTACAGGGACATGACACTGCCCATTGTATGTATGTCCTGAGAAACTTGAGATATGCTACAGTGTCCTCAGGCAGTTTGTAGTTGGATTGCCAAGACTCACAACCATCGCTACATCATTGCCACAAAGTCAATCATGAAGAAGATGAATATACTTTACCAGCCACTCATCCAGTTCAGGTCATCTTAACAAATAGAGTAGGTGGAGGAGCTGGTGGAGGAGGGGGATGTGGCCTATAGCCCATGACTGGTGGTGAAGGGTGGTCCATGGGGTACAGCCTGCAAGGCGATCCTGGGAAAGGACCAGGCCTTCTTGCATACAAAATAGCCTGCGGAAAAGAAATGAGAGATATGTTCATAGGAGGAAACAGAGCGCCAACACCAGAAAAAAGTGGAAACCCAAATAAGCAGTGCTCATATCCTACTAGCTTCCCCACCACTAGGTTCCAAGAGGGCAACAGCAGCGCCAAAATCTCTACCCATACTTTGGGTTCCACTTACAGCTTTGGGGTGGGGAATGGATGTGATTGGGATAAACTAGTGTCTCCACGTGTCTGGAAAGGTAGAAACAGCAAGGGTCCTTTTCCTAGAAGATTTATAGACTGAACCCCAAATTATCCAAGTAGCATATTCCAGATAGGAAGACATTTGTGTCCAGGATCACCATCCACCCTTCATCCCGCTCCACCACAGAGGCTGTTTATGGTGTATCTGAAGAACTACATAATGAGAAGGAGTGACAATTCCAGTGTCAACACATGGAATCATAGCCCTCGTGGCTCAAAGCTCTGCCTCTAAGCCCCTGCCTGTGCCCAAACTACTTCTGTCCCAACAATGGATTCTCCTCCTCTCTGCAAGTGCTATCCATGGGCACAGAGACACATGGGGAGATGGAGATCCTGAGGGCCTGCAGAGGATCTGGGAAAGCATGCTCCTAGAGAAAAGGGTAACCTATACATGTTAGTTGGGTTCAGCTAATTTATTTTAGTTCGGAGGTACTTCTCAGCTTAAGTGCAGTACACTTTGCAGGGTAATTGTGTCCTCTGGAAAAATGAGCTGAAATTCTAAAAGACAAAATTAACACAAATGCACTTTGATGTCTGGTATAAGTTTCCATGTTTTAGCTGTACCTGTGACACAGGACACGAGAGAACTTGCTCATGTGAACACAAGTGAAGGACACAGTGGGGACTTGCCACACAAGTAATTTTGAATTTTTTCTCTTCACAACTTAAGTTTCAATGCATGTTTTCTATGACAAATATGCCACATCTTATAGTTCAGAGTATTTATGCCCAGGGCACACCTGAAGGGATTCTGGGCAGCATGTTTACCAAAATGCTGATGGGTATGAAATTTACTTTGCCTAAGACCATTCTAAATGACACATACAAAAATAAAAGTTGGAGTGAAGGGAGTTCGCCTTTTCAAATTGTAAGGATACCCACAGATTTTTCTGACCACAGTAAAACCCTCGATAGAAGGAAACAGGAGGGGAAGAAACAGCAAGAGCAATGATTCCACATTGAGGAGATCCACAAAGAATGAGGCAAGGTAGGAGACTTCCAAGTGGAGTGTGGTGTCATCCTCCTTGATTTATTCCAGGAAGACATTGGAAAATCCCTATGGTCCCCACCCTTAGGCACGCTTTGCTGCTCAAGTTACCACAAACAGATGCCAGGTGGAAAACAGGGAAGCCCGAAGACTCGGGGGTAAATGTTTTGCATTTGGGAAAAAAACAAAAACAGCAGACCTACCATACAACACACAAACCAGAGACAATGGCAGGAGAGTGTTCTGTACAGAAGTATGTGGCTGTCTGTAAAGACTTAGAACTGAAAATGGCCACAGCATTCACTTTGTGCTTCTTGGCGGTTCTGGCAGAGCCAGTGTCGATGTCACTCTTGGGTGTGACACCTGCTTCTGGACCTGCAAAAAGCCCTAGAAGGGCTGATTTGAGTAGACTGTTTGGATATCAAAAACAAAACACCCTCCCCTCATACTTCTGACAACTTAAACTCTTTGCCCCAGTCAGATCCCAAATCACATGCACAGGGTATCCCACATGCCTCCAGTGATCCCCAAGAAGAACTTGAAGAACCATCCCGTATAACTTGATGAATACCCATAAAAGCCATGATTCAGATGTATTCATCATTCATCGAACAACTATGGATGGCTTGGGGCACAACTGGATGGACATACGTAACACTGTACCTCATGCCTCACAGATCCCAGCACGTGGACTGTGTACAGGGCATTTCTGCTGAAGCGCTATGTCTGGTTTTCTGCATACAGCCCCATTCCTTCTCCACAAGAGACACCTGTACCAATACATGGTGGGGGAAATGACAAAGATGAGATCCTAAGAAACTTGAGGAATGTGGTAATGGCAGCAGACACATTCCCCTTGCATCACAATGGTCTGTGGTACCGCCTCTGCACCTTGGCCCAAGACCTAACAGCAACAAAAATAAGGTGAGTGTGTTTTACAAGTCAACTTCTAGTGCTCAGATCATCTTACCAAGTGTTGCAGGTGGAGGGGTTCCGGGTGGCCTCAGGGCCACCAAGGTTCAGGAGGTGGACGTGCCTAATAGTCCATGGGGGCGGGGCATGCAGAATCGTCCAGTTAACAGAGGAGATCCCCAGGATCCAGACTGCCCTGCAGAAGTGACAGCTATATCCATATGCCAGAGAAGAGAACCAATACCAAGAGCAGCTGTAACCCAGAGAAGAATGCGTCAGCACCTGCCACATTCTCTGCCACCAGGATCCAAGAGAGTAGCATCACTACCTGAAAACTCTGTCCCTGACACTGGATACCACCTACAGCTTGGGGTAGTAGATGCAAGAGGTTAACCTACAGCCACCACACATCACTGCCCAGGTCTGCGGAAGTAAAATGGCAAGGGTCCTGTCCTAGAGGGTTAACAGAAGTAATTACAGACAAATGAAGTAGCATTCTCCAGACAGGCAGCCATCCATGTCCAGGTTCACCCTGCATCCCTCCTCGATGGTGACTCCAGATGCTCTGCTTTTGGTATATTAAGAACACAAAAAAAATGAGTGGGAATAAATGGCTCATATTCTGCTCATGGAATCACAGCCACTGCTGGCAAAAAGTTCTGAAGCTGGACCCTCACTGTGCCTCCTCTGCTCCTCTCCCTGAGAAAGGAGTCTTCCCTCTTGAAGTGTTGTCACAGGCCTCTGAGACCTCTGGGGAGTGGAGGATGCCTGGAATCTTTTGTAAGGAATGAGAGTCTTCTGTGAAGAACACGTTACTTGTGGTGAATGTCTACAAAGCTCAGATGTGTTCATCTTAAATCATAGGGAATTCTGACTTTAAGCATACTACAGGACACAGAGTAATTATGTGCAACAGAAAAAAAGAGGGAGAAATTCACATAACAGATTTTATGCAAGTGTTTTTGTATAAAACTCCTGGTATGTGTCATGAGACTGTATCAACTCTAATAGTGACTGGGGACACAACCAGAAACTGCTTATAGAAACACAATTGAAGGACACAGTGTTCAAACAATGTTTACCTAAGGTATAGCTGGAAGGATTCCAGACAAATCATTTACCAACCAAGATGGGAAGGTGATGAGTGATGACATTGACTTTATCCGGGACCACTCTAAATGGCACAGGGCACAAAATATAAAGTTGGAGTCATGATGTCGTTTCTAACAGATTCATCTCCTAGCCAGAATCAAGAAAGGAAGACGCAGCAGCCACACTGTTCCCACAGAGGTGAGGTCTCGAAGGGGTCACCCAGGCCAGGAGACTTCTGTTTGGAGTGTGGGGTCATCCTCCTCTCATTATTTCCTGAAATTCATGGAAAAACCTTAAGGTACTCAGTCTGTAAGCGCTTTTGGCTTCTAAACTTACCACAGAAAGCTAACAGACTAAAAATTGAGAAGCCTGTGGGCTCCTGGGTTGAGTGTGCATTTGGAAAACAAAGAACAAACAGACATATAACACAACACGCAAAACGAGACAAGGCCGGGAAAGCGTGCTGTACATAAAGATGAGGGTTTCCCAAAAGAGTTACAACTGATAATGGCCCTGGCATTTACCTTGTCCTTGTCTGCATTCTTGGTACAGTCACAGCCACTGTAATTCACAGAGTTTTCAGCAGTTTCTCGATCTACTAAAGACCCTAGAAGGGACAGAGGTTTATTCTGCTTTTAGAGGACTTGGCGTAATGAAAACAATCTCTCAACTCATTCCTCAAATATCTTAAACTTTTCCCTACAGTCAGGTCCCTGACCAGAGGCAGAGGGTATCCCACATGCCTCAGGTGACCCCCAAAGATAAGGGGGAGAACCATCCCCTCACCTTGATAAAGGCCTCACGGTGCCCTAGTTCATGTTGTTTTGTAATTAATCACATAACTGTGGACAGGTCAGGCACAACTAGCAATTTAGAATTCATCAGTAAAACAGAGGTTTCTCAGTAAACATCATGGGAAATCACGATTTTATTACAGATCAAGAACAAATATGAGGATGCTTGGATTAAGCATCCAACTTTTGATTTTGGCTCAGGTCACGATCTCATAGCTTGTGAATTCAAGCCCAGCGTTGGGTTCCTCACTGACAGTGTGGAGTCTGCTTGGCATTCTGTCTCTGCCTCTCTCAAAATAAATAAGCATTAAAAAAAAGAATAAAATTGAGAATACTGGTTTGGTGTATATCCTCAATGACTCCTCAAGAAGAAGTGCATTTCTTCAGACTTCAGCAAATTGTTCAATCTCTCAGCTTATCTACAAGCTGTCTTCCACATGAGAGCAGTTAGTATATAACTAAAGACTAATTTTACACTATAGAGAAAAGGAAAACTATGAGAATTTAGCAGTGAAGCTGCAGAGTTGCACTGATACCATCAGAGGACTAAGCTAAGCTCTATGGAACTTGAATTTAGGGATGTAGGGCTACAGTTCCCCAAAATAAACAAAAATAAAGACCGTTAAAAATAGTGAATAAATGACCTTCTTCTCAAATAAACCAAAGTCTTCACATTGAGTCCGGGTGGGAAGAAGGATGAGGCCTATGTCCTGTCATCATTTCCAGGCTCTTCCGACAGGGGGATTCTAGAGGAGGTGGGAGGGTCACAGTCAGAGGAGGGGCATGAGTTCCACCAGTCACAGGGACAAGTGCCTCACTGCCTGCGGCACCAGAGGAGAACACCCTTCTGTCACCCCTTCAGACCACCTGATGTCCTTAGTGCTTGTGATTCTTTCCAGACCACACAATGATCATCCACAGCAACAGGCTGCACAACAGAAATTAAACTGCAGCACATCACAACGTGCTCCTTACCTCTCCTTGGAGGGTTCTGCGTCTCTGGTCCTGCAGCCATTGGTTTCTGCCTCGTGTATCCCTCAGGCAGCCTCTTTGCTCCCATTCCGTCCAGTCTTGGATACAGAAAAATAAAGGACTTCTATAAGAGTTGCAACACCACATCATCTACTAGACGACAAACAGTGCGGGTGTCATCCCTGGAAACACCCATAAAAACGCAAGTCAAGTGACCACACCTGTATTTCAAGTAAGCGACCTCCATGCCCTGCTCCGCCATCTTCCTGTCCCAGATCTGAGTCTTGATCTGGGGGAGAAAAAACACATCCACCTTCAGTCGTGCCAGACTGTGCACCAAAGAAAGAGGAGGAAACAAGAAAACACTTACCTAGGTATCCTGAGCATTCTTCTCATGAACTGCGATCTGAAAAAGCCAACAATGAAAACCCCGTGGTTAGGGATTCCAAAGGCCACTGCTCTCACCTGCATGAGGTGCTAAGGTTCAGTATGTCAGGAAGAACTCAGGTTACATGGTATCTAAAGGTGAGCTCTGCCTGCTGCAGCTATTCCTGTGTTTGTTCAATTTGTTGCCTGTGAGTTACAATTGCTCTTGTCACATAAGGCCCAATATTGGGTATGATTTTAAATAATCTGCCCACATTCCCAACAACCTCATATCTGTCCCCTGATACAATTTATTCTTACACATGAAGCACTTTGCACATGATTATCAATGTACAGTAGGATCAAAGCTATTGTTACATCCTTTCCTTACTCATTATTCCATTCCCATAGGGTTCAGAGTTCATAGAATTCCTTCCCATTTTCAATCTTTCCATAACTCATCATGTGACAAGTGTCTGTTATCATAAAGCTCTATTCTTCATTAACTTATATCCTCACCATGTTTCCCAGGGTTGCAAAGACAAGGGCCATGAAATGGCACTACCATGTTGAAGGGTATGATTCATCGTACGACACACTGTTTTCCTATAGATTATGACAATTGACACCACCCCCAAGGAATGTTGGCATGGACAAAGTTTCCACACAGTCTGCCCACTACTTGAGATCCGCAAATGTTCAGACACTCAATTGTTTTGTTCTCTCTAAAACTTACATTTTTTTTTATCTGTTAATACTCTATGCATATGTCCTCTGAATGTTTGTTTATATTACTATGTTGACTTTAAACATTGCAAAAAAGATTAAAAACAAAAAAAATGAACAGCGGGTTCATGAGCTGCTGGTAATTCGTAGCTGAACTCACTTGTACTTGTTTATTTCTTCTGTAGCTATTTTCTTTTTTAATGTTTATTTATTTTTGAGACAGAGAGAGAGCACACGCATGAGAGGGGGAGGCAAAGGGAGAGAGGTAACAGAATCCGAAGCTGGCTTCAGGCTCTGACCTATCAGCACAGAGCCTGACGCGATGCTTGAAGTCACGGACTGTGAAATTATGACCTGAGCTGAAGTTGGACGCTTAAACAACTGAGCCACCCCGGTGCCCCTTCTGTAGCTATTTTCAAGTTTTACCTGCAGCTCCCAGCTGATTCTTCTTTGCTGCCGGTTCAGTGTCATTTTCAGCTTCCTAAGATAGGAAAGATATATACACAGTCAGGACCAAGGTCCAGAAATTCCCCCTTTTTGCCTCCCAGCACTCTTGAAGGCCTATGCAAATATCCCTCCCCCCACCTCTCCCATAATTGCACAGACTGACAACCCAATCAGAGAAATGAAGTGAACACCCCATTTAAGTTAAAGAAAATTAAACTTCTGTCTGCTGCCACATCTCTGCTTTGGGAACTGTCTTTCTAGTTTTCTGTTTCCTCTCCTTTATCATAAAGTCATCAAATAACATTGCACTTTGTGCCTTCCCAGAGTGGGTCTTTTGTTTGAGATGGTGAAGACTCATTTCATCAGTGAGTGAAAAACCATGTCTGGCCAACTGTACCCATTAGGATGAAGCAGGGGATCATCACCAGTCTTAGACTTCCATGGGGAGCCCCAATTCTCAGGCCGAAAGTTGTACCATGACACAGACAATCACCCTGAAAGACGACCTGCCAGGATATGGCTTCACCAACATTGCAGCACACTCCCAGACATCGCTAGAGTTCAAGACTGCAACCCCTTCCTCCACCTTCACCTATCCTGGTGGAGGAAAAGGCCAATCTTAGAGTGACAACATCTCCTGAAATACCACCTGATATGAAGTGTCACAGTCTGGGTTTACTTCCAGGAAACATTTCAGATGGAAAACTCTCAACTACATGGAGCCAAATCTACTTTAACAAGACTCATTCCACTGATATTGAAGGCAGCAAAAGGCAATGCTTGGCAAGGCTGGGTGGCTGGGTTGCCCTCAGACTAATTTGTTTGTGGTGTTGATTGAGACGGTTTCAACTTGACATTGATGTTCTCAAGAATCACATGAAAAATTGAAAATCTCTTAGAAACAGGCACAAAAGCACTAGACAGAGAAAGGCACATGCATTTCCTTCTGGCCTCTCAGGCAGTCCTTCAGCAAATGCTTGCTGGAGTGGTTGTAATGTAGTGGCTCTGTTGTAAGGGGTTGAAGATAGAGAGGTGGCCAAGGTGCTGTACACACTCACAGAAAGAGCTTATGAATTAACAAAAACAAGATGCCAGTGAGACAGAGCAGGTGCTAACCCGAGGTGTGGGAAGGACTATTATAAAGGTGAGTCTCCAGGGAAGAGAAGGAAGACTTCACTTTCCAACATGAGTGAGGGACTCTAAAGTCCCTGATATCCTCCTGAGAACAAAAGGAAATACTGTACAAGGGAGGAAGCGTGTGACTGAATGCACCAAATATCTAACAACCCCACGAAGACACACAACACCAAGATGGAGAAGAAGCAAGCCCAGGACAAAGCCAGCCTGGCAGTTGGACCCAAACTCCCTAGAACTCATTTCTGATATGGGGGACATACATTTGAATGGCAAAGAAGCTGGACAACTTTATGGGCACAGACTTAGAAGTAAACAAGTGTAGTTCAGGGGTGGCCAGCAAAGATGAGCCCTAGTGAAGCTGCGGGCTTTGGCCAAGACTCAGAAGAGTTACAATTAAAAAAATCAGGGGACAGGAAACAACTTGACTTTTTTAGGGATTGGGCCTGCAGTTAACAATCTCACTGGCAGAATGGATGCAGGGATCCAGTACTTCTGGCACCCCTACCCACTTTCCAGAAAGCAACTTCCATTGTTTCTCCAGCAAGATAATTCAATTTTTTCCCCAAACATTTTTGACCCATGTCTGGTCCTGAAGAAAAATGACCAATTGCTGGATGACAAAACAGTGTGATGCGATTGAAACCTATAGGACAGTGTAGGTGGATCCAGAGTGGATCCAGGTATCAACGTTATTCATGATGGTACCTTCCCTCTTCCGCCCCAAATACATGACCCAATGTGTGACAAGCACTTAGGACAGAAAGGAAAATGCAGGTTACATTACAGAAAGCAAGATAGGAAGGGCAGGCACAATTCTACTAAATGCATTTGGCAAAAATGCTCTGGACCCGGTTCCAAAAGAAATATAATTATCTCTACTGGCCACCACGTTCTCTCATACAACGCAGTCCTTGTGACAGTTCTCACATGAACATCTTACTTTTCTACATTTTTTTTTTACCGTTTACTCATTTTTTGATAAAGAGAGACAGAGCGCGAGTTGGGGAGGGGCAGAGAGGGAGATAGAGAATCCAAAGCAAGCTTCAGGCTCTGAACTGTCAGCACAGAGCCCAACATGGGGCTCGAACTCATGGACCATGAGATCATAACCTGAGCCGAAGTCGGACGCTCAACCGATGGAGCCACCCAGGCGCCCCCATCTTACTTTTCTGTAGGCACTTTTCTTTGTTCATAAAATTCTTCCAGGTTATGTGCTTTCTCCTTCATCTGTTTAACTTTTGCTTCCTTTGTGGCTTTCACAGACCTCAATGCATTATACTTGTCTTCCAACACCTTTTTATTTTCTGGGGGGGGGGGGAGGTGTTTTCTCGATAAACATGCACATGACCTGAGTCTTGATTTTGGTGAGACAGAAAAAGGGCAAGAACCATGAAGGCATGAAGGTATTCTTTCCCTTACCAATGCAAAATCATTGCCATCATATGGGAATTTCTCCCCAACAGAAAATATACCTTCTAGTTGATGGTTATTGGACCTCAAGGTTCTTAGCTCTACATCCTTGAATTCAATATTTGCATCTTGTGGTTAAGGCAGACATGAGGAAAGACTTTCACGGAAAACTTATCACCCAACAATTTGTACCTCACACAGCAAGATCGTGCATTGCAATGAACAAACACCTTGAGGCATGAATATAACTAGAAGACAAAGATGGTGGAAAATAGTTCATGTCTAACAACTCATAAATGGCTTTCTTAGTGGTATACATATATATGTATGTATATATGTATGTATGTATGTGTGTTTATCCCCCCATTCACATTGAAAATTCACTATTCAGCATTCAGGGAGAAAGAGACTATGGAGCACCTGGGTGGCTCAGTAAGTTGAGCATCACACTCTTGATTTTGGGTCAGGTCATGATTGTAGGATCATGCGATCCAGACATGTGTTGGGCTCCACACTGAGCATGAATCCTGCTTAAGAGTCTCTCTCTTTCCCTCTGCCCCTCTCCCCCACTCTCATGCCCTCTCTCACAAAAATTTTTTTAACAATTCATAAGTAATAATTTTAAAAAATTTTAAGGGAAAGGATTATACACTTTGGCTATCACTCTTTTTCTCTCAACTATAGTTGGGTATTTTCTACATATCTTGGAGGGCAGAGTTGAATGATGTGATAATTACCTAGTTGTGAAAATAAAAGATAGCTCCTAATCCTTGAAATAGCAAAACTCATCTTCGTGGTCCTATAAAATTCCAGCTCATTGGTCAGAAAGAGGTTTGGATCCCAGAGGCCCACTCTCCACTTGTGGTAAACGGCAAGCAAATGTGCTGTGCTCACTTCAGCCAATGAACAAAAAGCCTCCAAAGCCAAATTACAGTAAAACTCAGCAGTAAACTCTTATCACTTATTGATTCTTCTCATTTCTTTCTTTCTGAGTTTGGTAGCAGCTTCACTTTAAGGATGTCATTTAAAATTTCATTAAAGTGAGTGCCTGGGTGGCTCACTCAGTTAAGCATCAGACTTCAGCTCAGGACATCATCTTGTGGTTTGTGAGTTTGAGCCCTGTGTGGACTCTGTGCTGACAGCTCAGAGCCTGAGGCCTGCTTCGGATTCTGTGTCTCCCTCTCTCTCTGCCCCTACCCCACTCACGCTCTGTCTCTCTCTCTCTCTCTCTCTCTCTCTCTCAAAAATAAACATAAATTTATGTTTACTTATACTCAACAAATACAAAAAGATCGAGA